TGGGAGGGAATTTCCACCCAGGCCCCGGAAAACTGTTCGAAAACACGGTGCGAAGAGTAATCATTTTGCCAGCTTTATGGGGGATTGCGAGAAGCTTTTCGGGATAGCGAGAAGCAGTGGCTGTTTGAGTGTTAGACAAGAAGATATTCATACAGTATTTGCGCATTACTCCCACTCCCTTACCAACATCTTTCTAGTGAGCCCTCTCTGGTATATTATACGATATAGGGTACCAAGCCCTGGTAGTTTTGATCCTACTCTTCGACATGACTCCTACAACACATGAGAGATTCTCGGAGAACATTTCAGACACCAATAATTCCCACCCAAGTTTTCTTTATTTTCCAGCAAACAGCCAGGCTTAAAAACCTATCCATTCAGGGAGTGAAAATATCTCCCTAGTCTCATAGATGCTCTCTCAGGAAATAGCAGGCCAAGGCGCTGGATACCACGAAATAATTTGGCTTGAACTGAGAGAGAAAAATCGTTCAGCTGTAACACCCTTCCGGTGCCTAACTGCCATGCCCTCGGAAAGAAGCACGAGGGCTGGGGTGCTGCCAGGTTGCCCAAGCCTAGACAGGGGAAGTCGAGAGGCAGAGGTCGGGTTCGAAACATGAAACTTCCGATCAGTAAATTTGCGTTCTAACCACCTGAGCCTACTCGCGCCCTGGAACTGAGAGAGCTGAATGCTGGTTTGTCACCGTGCCATTACGGTACCTATAAACAGGTGTTATTCTCACATAACGCCGGAACGACTGCAGGCTTGAACCCGCAGATGTGTTCGTAAGTTGTGCAGTGGTTCCGAATCCAAACAGCTGCACACGTCTTCTTGGCTTCTCCGCGTTAGGTTACAAAGGAGAACAGAACCACTGTTGGTATACAGCTGTTTTTAATACGTAGAGATGAATTTGAAACAGAACAGTCGCTTGTTCCGACAAGTGATATTCTATTAAACTCTATATCATCCACCACTGAAACCAAATTCAGTTTGACGTGAATTTGGATTGATTTCTTCAGAGACACGTGACCAAAGACGGTTTACTACGAATGGGAACGGCATAACTTTCTCACCGATGTGCATCTCATTATACATTTTGGAATTAAACTGTCTCTTGAAGGCGTATTTGACTCCTTCGAAACCCAGACAATTAGAGGATCATCTGCTGTCCCACAAATTCTGCGTTTTTAGGACAAGCTTTTTTCTGGGACATCTGGGAATACAGTGCAAGAAAAATAAATCAGCAAAAAGTCCGTGGATTTATGCTTGTGTTAAGGATAATCCTTTAGGAATGAAGCACAGTTTTGAAAATACTAGACTCGCAAGTAAGAAACATAGTCCAGGCCCTGAAAAATGAACTTTTTGGGGACAGTTTGTAGCTAGTTGTAGTTAGTTTACATTGAACTTATTTATCAGAATTCAAAAACTCAGTAAACAAGCACCCTTTGGGTTTAAGTATTTCTTGTCAACATGTGGTTGAAGTTCGTATGCAAACTATTGGTCTTATTCTCAACAGTAACAGAGATCTGTATTCATTCATGATCCTCTTTTCAGGTAGCCAGGCGATTATGTTAGCGCTGTTAGAATATCCGTAATTTAAACACCAGGAGCCATGAGGTTTACTCTCATGTGTACATGCAAGGTATACGATCCAGTACCTGGCCTTCGTTGGTCAATAATTCTATTGATCAAAGACTTTCCATTTCAAGGCCATGCAACTCGAAGTGTGGGAAAGCCGATAGAGATGCGAACTTGAGGTAAGGATCGGCTGTACTAGAACAGCAAGATGGTGAATGTGCGGAGAATCATCCCCCCCCAACCTGGGTTCCAAGGAATTTGCAGTTTGTCTATCTCCCTTGTTCGTTCTGTGATTGCTATCTCAAGTTGTTTCTTCTCAGGCTTGTTTACACTGCACTGCGCGGTATTTATCCAGTTTTCTAAGCCTTATAAATCCATCTTCCTGAATCCCGATAACCCACCAACACTGAGTACGACTCAGTGGACGTCGCCATTAATACATCTAACGACTGGCTGTGGATCTTTGTACTCCGAAGTTTCCACGAACGAGTTATCAGACACATAGCTTTCCTCAGAAAAATTTAAAGCAACGAGAGCGAAACTGCACTACTCAAAAGCCATCTATTATCTGCATTTGTCGCGTTAACGAGAGGGCGTGTCTGTGGTCTTCTCCCTACTGAATAAGTTTCACGACTGCTCCACCTATTCGGTTCATAGTCTACTTGTTTTGATGCTAATGTCTAAGTAATTGCACGTCTAAGGTTGGTAACGTTCCTTTTATTCGCTTGGGTGGAGTAGATCCTGTTGATTTAGCTACAGCGTCAGCACAAATCCTCTGTTCCTATAGAATTTCATCATCTTGGAAGACAGTTTAACCTTGATGAATACGAACTCCCATTTGAACAGCGCGTAGCGGATTCGAGGTGAGGTTAATTTATTCATAGTTTGGATTCCTGTCTCTGTTTCAAAGTCAGATTCTCATGACCAGCATGTCAAAACTCCGGAAGTGACGAGGAGTTGGGAACAGCTGCCTAAAACGAAATCGGGACATTGGTTAACCTGTGTGTCACAAAGGCTCGGAACTCACCGACGAAATAAGAGATGTTTGGTGTGGGTTAACAGTTAGATAAGATTAGAAGTACAGAAAGGCCGCTGATGCTACCCTCAAACAATCGTGACATGTGAAACGGAAGTGAAACCGGGTCAACAATAAATAAGGGGAGAATTCAAGGTTAACTATGACAGATATGAAGGCGGTTGCTTATTTCCTTCTGATAAGTTTCGGGGAATTGTGATGTGAACTGAGTGCCCTCGCCGGTAGCTGACAATAAATCAGTAGTGGAAAGTTCGAGTGATATCGACAATGATCAGATAACCATTAGGCCACGAGCGACTGATCAACAGTGTGATTATCTCGAAATTAGGCAGGATATAACGCCGCTCATCGTTCAGTCACGCGATCCACATCACATGATCACACATGTTGACTGGCTCCTCGATTGACTACTTCCCAGATGGAAGTATCACTCAGCGCGGCTCACTCGATCGAAATTAGGCAGGATATAACGCCGCTCATCGTTCAGTCACGCGATCCACATCACATGATCACACATGTTGACTGGCTCCTCGATTGACTACTTCCCAGATGGAAGTATCACTCAGCGCGGCTCAAGACTCTCTGGAGTTTCGTGAGACGTGCACTGCTGCTGATTCCCAATAAGGATGAAACAACTGTACAGCGCTTCTCGGCATTTCAACATAGATTGGTTTCACTTCCACGACGAAATCTCCATTGAAACTTTTCGAATCTCTTCAGATCACTAAAAATCTATATGTAGCTCACGAAGAAAGTAACTCCACAAGATGCCGTTAGTTAAAATAGCTACCGGGCATTTGCATACTTCTCAGAAGTTTTCTGAAAGCTCTTTGACAGCCCACCACCGGTTTTGTCGTAATTGGAAAGCTCTTTGACAGCCCACGACCGGTTTTGTCGTACTTGGGGCTCATAAGGTAGGCGTGGACCTCTGGTTTTCATCAACCTTATGTTCCACCTCAAAACCAGGTAGTACGCAACTGCTGACTTCGCAATTTACCTTGGTGTCAAAGACAGATGCAAGTAAATTTCTGGCTCATGCTTTCCTTCAACTAAATGTTCCTCACAAACGCGGCTTCGTGTTTCAGTTTGCATGATTTTTGACAACAGCATAAACGACAGATTCTTCGGAGTCTCTCGATACCACAAAATCAATTTGAAGATTGATTATTCGCATCGATTGCCGCAAATACTCCAAGCGTGGAATTCAAAAATCTTATTTAAACTACTGGACATTAGGCTCCCTTCGCTGTTACGCGTCAACTAATTACGACACCGTCCGCTGTTTCGGCACCCCTCACACGGCTACAGAGCTCGGACAGATTGGAAGGCGTTTTGTCGTAACGGGAAAATGTGAGATTATGTTGAGTCAGATCATTCAATAAGGAAGTTCGCGGAAAAAGGTTGTCTGAAGCAAATGAATTGGACTGCAGTGTGATCACTTCGATAGAAGTTGTGAGCTTCTGTCAGGTGCGATAGTGAATTGTCTGACATAAGGAAGGTTAACTTCTGTAGAAAGTAAGACCGATGGCCTCAGGAATAAGCATCTTTTGGTTGAAGCAATAAAATGGGTTAGGATAGGGGTCATATCGTACGAATCAAAATGCTCAGATGGGCAAGATGGTAATCGGAAAAGTAATCGATAGCCAGTAATCTAAGCCGCAAAAAAGCACTTAACGAAGCTTTTGGGTTGCAAACTTCACTAAGTAGTTGAAGTTGGTGTGATCAATCGTGACTTAGATGCTAGTCAATGCCCTCCTAGGAATTCGTCGGATGTGCACTGAGGACGATCCAAAACGAGGAGGATGAAACACCACGATGTTCCTCAGCTTCTCAGAGGGATTTGACACGAAGCATGATAGCCTCGTGTCTAAACAGGAGCAGCTAAGATGCAGAGATT